TACTTTTGTTAAAGTTGGCAGAAGAAACATATCCTTCTTAAAGGGGGTGTAGCATTGCAAATACTGGTTAACGCCATCTACGACTTCTTTTGGACAATCGTTAGTAGACGAATGGACTCGCCTAACAGTCAGCGCGCTATATCGTTCGCGAAACAGACCTAAGTTCTCCTCACGTTTTGGTTTCGCGTATATTGCACGCACGTGAAAACTGCGGTCGCGTTGTCCGTAGTCGTATTTTACCCTCAAAGCGGTAGCCAAGAACATTGGTAAGGTCCACAAAGTTAACATAATACGTGGATTGATAAAGAAGACCATTGGGTTCTAATCACTATTTAATGGTCTTTCCAAGGTATGTTGTAATTATGCAAACACCTTCTAGTTCTACCTGAAGTTTCTCCCCTCATTGAGCATTTTCACTTCCTTGTCAAGATATAAGTAAAATAATATAGCATTCGAACAATACCAGATTAAAGCCTCACTCACGGCTCGTAGTATTTACTCATTTATTTTCACTAACGAAATACATTTATTACATACCAATGTCCTTCTAATATCCACCAGTCTGAATTAAATGGGGATACAATCATCATGATTTTGACACTTCGATAATTGTTTTGATTTTCATGTTTGGTTCGACCCCTCCTTAGAGTTTGCTTGGTTGAGCCTGGTGGGACTAATACCGGACTTACTACTGTCGTCAATAATTCCATCGACGCCAGACTTCAAGACGAGTCCATCGACGACATTGATCGACGTCAGCTTCAATGTTTAAGAGAGACGATTACGAAGAATGAGATTGCATGGCCAGACGATGTCGCTGATGCGATAACGACGGGGTGTTTGGACGTCGATGAACCCGTCCTCGGACATCTTCTACCAGAGGAGCTCCACGATGTCGTTAGGGCAGCGGCGGGCGACGTCACGGGGGAAACCGGCCAAGCTATTATGCAAAATTCAATAGGAAAGTAATAATTTGTTGAAATAATGACACTGCCCGTTTAAAAGTTATTCTGATTACATTCAAGGTCGGGTAATGGTGCTTTTTTTTTGGATAAAGCAAGATAATGGAATCTAAATTTGGACTTACTGGCATTCATTTTCATATATGTATCATGCAGCGAGGAAAGAAGTGGCCAACAGTTCCTTTAGACGATATGTTATTTGTTGAAATGATACACGACTCTGAGCAATATGGGGCCATACAACGTTCTCATGGTTCTAGCAGGTGATCTCGTCCTAGATTTCCATGCATGCTGTATGACGATGACCCCAGTTAACTTTCCTTGATTTGCTTTGCTCATTCTCCATCTATCATCTATCAAATCTGTTTTGTAAATATTACCAGTCTTCTTTAAAATGAATATTAAAATACATATTTTTTAAATTAAAATGATATTTCATCATTATTGTTCTTATTCTCTTTGTTTCAATGTGATAACATGATTTATAAAACAGAATCCTATGTCAAATTTCTATGTTGTGTTTTATGGACGAATAAAATGAACTACATTGTTTCCGCTAGTTTATAAAGAGGAATAGTCCAGAATCTAGCTAATCTAATCTTTTTCACCAACGGCCTCTATTTGCTGCAAGCGGATTTTTTTTGCGTGATCCCTAAACTTTAACGCCCGGCAGGGGATGGGAGAGAGATCGCGAAATAAAAATCCCACCTTACAGATTCTGGACCAAGTGAGGGAGAGAAAGAGAGGGAGGGAAAGAGAGAGAGAGAGAGTGGGGGAAAAGAGAGAGAGAGAGAGAGAGAGAGAGAGAAGGAAAAGACCTTTCTTCACGAACAAACAAAGTATACCTGACTGACGGATGATTGCCAAAAAAAAGAGATATAGAAAGTGTGAGAGAGAGAGAGAGAGAGAGAGAGAGAAAGAGAGGAGCAGAGAAGAAAACAAGGGAGAAAAGAGAGAGATATATATATAGGGAGAAATGAGAAATTGGGAGCAAATAAAATAAGAGAAAACAGAGACAAAGAAAAGGAGAGAGAGAAAGAGAGAGAGAGTAAAAAAGGGAAGATGAAAATAATTTTAAAAAGGCTTCGTGGGCGAGGGTGGGCTTAGAGCATGTAGGTGGCCAGATGGGTGTATGCGTGTGTATGTGTGCGCGCGCGTGTGTGTGTGTGATTGTTATATATTCTTCTCCTATCAGTTGATCAATTTCCCTGTCTCGATCTCTCCCTTCTATCTCCCTCTTTTCTATCTCGAATTCCTCATCCACTCCCTGTCCGTTTGTCTTCTGCCCCTTGCTACCCCCTCCCAACATACTTCCCCACAACTAACCCTCTCCAATTATACGAATAATATGAACCCACACTGATCTCTAACTATAACTGTTTATTTTATTGATATGTGTCAGGTTTTCCATATTCCACATGTTTACTCTGCATCCAAGTTCGATCTCTTTGGCAGCAGGCGTGAACCTGTTTATATAATGTATATAGATATATAGATATATAAAGGCGTTATTGGAAGGACATTTGGAGTGAAAAGTAATTGAGTCATTAAGTAGACATTGTCATTACAGGACAATTTGATGTCCTCTTAACATTGTTTACTTTATATTTCTCATAGAAGGTCATTTTTTGTATATATATACATATATATCGATCTCTATATCATTAGAGGGACATTTGAAGTGCAAATGAGTCATTAAGTAGACATTAGGGTTAGGGTTAGGAATTGTATGATGTCCACTTAATGTACCATGTAGGGTTATTCAAGTATTCAAGTATTCAATTTTATTTCACATCTCTTTAAAAAAACACATTAAAAGATATACAAACAAATCATTATTTAAAACAATATAAATACATACAATATAATTATATATCATACAAATAATGAATGGTTATGAGTTCAATAGTGCGAACATTTTCAACGAATGAAAATATTCGCACCATTGAACGAATGAAAAACATTCATTATTTGTTTTATACAACATCGAAGAAGATCTAATAGAACGTTAATCAACAAATTATGCTTTACTCCTTATATTAAAGAAAAATTCAAGTTGGATTCAAGCCTTCTCGATTACATTCAGATTGCCTTCGCGTCAGATACACGCAGGGATACGCGCGCGCACGGCAGAGAGGTACGCAGTCTGCATATAACCAAAAATGCACGGCGCATATAACCAAAAATGCACGACCGTGCAATATACCATCTATTGAATATCATGTGACCAACAATCCTCCAATCAAATGACAGGGATCCACGTAGGTGTTGTATAAATATATATATATACACTCTTATGAATATAATCGTGTTTTTTTTTTCGTCTTCTATTTGCATTAAGTGTAGATCAAAGGGTAAAAATATCGCCTACTTATACCCCATTCACAGTGGCCTCAAACACCGCGACAGCAGCGGGACTGTCCCGCTGCTGTCGCGGTGTTGTCTTCAGTGTGAAGGCTCGGACCCGTTATAAACTATCGCGGGATAACACCGCCTCGCGATAACGCCGCGACAAACTATCGCTAGGTTCGCCTAGCTACAGCAGCGGGACAGTCCCGCTGCTGTCGCGGTGTTTACTCAGTGTGAAGGCTCTCCGCTATAACACCGCGACAAACACGTGTGATTTGTTTACTTACCTATCACTGACCTCTTTTCTCCAGCAATGGGGAACATAAAGTGAAATAGAAATAAAGTAACCAGTGGATTCAAATTGATTTTATTATTATGTAGATATTATAATTATCCAAATAAAAATATTTCACACTTCAAAAAATTAAAATATTCTGACTGGAAGCAATAAAAATGCTATTTTTTTAAAAAGTAATATGATCGAGGATACAAAAAGCAACTTGACATGTTTACGCGCTGAAGTATTTCCGGTCATATCGGGGTCACTCGCGGGTCATGAGCCATGCATACACGTGTTTGTTACGGAGGTAATAAAAATCACCCGCTGCAGCGTGAATGGATACATGATATTTATCCCGCTGCTGCAGCGGGATAACTTTTCTACTGTGAATGCATTTGTAGCGGTGTTATGGCGGTGTCGCCGCTCCGCTACAACGCCGCTACAAATTTCAAAACCACTGTGAATGGGGTATTATTCACCCTTTTGGTATAAATACAATGATTTTCCAGTTTTAGTCATTATAAGAAAAAAATGAGAGAAAATGAGAATTAATGTCTTTCATCCTAACGTTGCATCTCAGATAGAGATTGCATTTAACAAATAATATTTGTAATGCCCATGAATATGATGGGCTTTTTCTTTAATCGAACATATTGAGTGAAATTGCACCGTATAGCAAAAATGTTTAAGTGATTTGCAATACCTAATATGTCATCATTCACTGGCTTAATAAGCATATCACTCACACCGCAAACGCAATCCAATTATATTTTCCTTTATGAAAAATAAACGTCGTTGTGGATATGTCTCCATATGGGCGCCGGGGACTAAGATCGATTTGATAAATCAATTACACTCGCATTCCAAGGTCCATTCTGAATTTCATCCACAGCATATAGCAATACGATAAACTGTGTTAGAATTTGCCAAGCGATTGTGTGGGAATATACATGATCACCCTAGAAGCCGCTAAAATAAATGAAAAAACCATTGCATTATTGCATAAGGTCACTATTTTACCATAGGATCGGGAAAATATCGACAATATTTAGCAGGTGAGTAGCGTTGTTGAGTTATGTGTGTGTACGCCAGTCAACCAGCCATCGTAATAATACAACGCGAAATGTCTCTGCTTCAAGATTAAATACAATGCAGACGAGTGTTAGGATAATAGTGTACAATTGTGAAGTAGTGACGATTTCGTAGAATTTGTAAATACGTTAAATGATTTTGCATTGCTTTTCTTTTAATGGTGACTTCAGCCATTGCAAAAAAGAGGAAAAAGGTATGAAATATTATTATACATTTAGAAAACTACTAGCGAGTGATGTAAATCATATGAATTTAGTAATAATAAATAATTTATAGTATTTCAGTGTTTCTATAACCCTATATAGGTATTTGCCAAGATGGCGCCTCAAATCGTCCTCATGACCGGTTGTTCGGCCGGAATCGGTCTCGCCATGGTTCAACGTCTCGCTCGAGACCCCGATCAGCGATTCATCATCATTGCCACGGTGATTTCGATGTCGGAGAAGAACGATCTCGAGGACGCGGTCAAGGACGACATTGACAGTAAAGTTTTCATCAAAGAGTTGGACATCACAAACGATAGAAACATCGCTGAGGTGGTCGCAGACGTCATCAACAGTCACGGTCGCATTGATGTATTATGTAAGAAAATAATGATTTCTAGAGCGCTGATAATCACCACGCAAAGTGCTCAAGCCAAGCCAAATAGTACCTCTGCTTTAGAGTTTGTCGACCGATTTCGGTACCCACATTATTTAGTCAATATTGGTGAGCAATTTAACCTTTAGGAATGTTAACACCACTGTTCCTTGCAAATTCCATGTTATTATAAAATATGCATTATCTTTTTTTTTCACACCGTCGACAATAATGGTCGAGCATTTCATTTCGCTAGAGCAGTTAATAAAGCCCTATCAAGATAATGACCTGTAAACATTTCACGCCAAGCAGGCATTTTAATGTTCTCAAAACATGTGGCACAATAATCGTGGCTTTTTCAAAAATTATGGAGCTTGGTAGTTCTAGAGGTTCCGGAGGGGGCTTCCGGGCTCAAGCCCCGAGGCAAAGCACTCCTCCCCCGAAACATTTTTAGAGCAGCGCGCCTGGGGCTTGGCAAGGCAGGACGGTGACTTTTAACAACATAATCTTACTTTCAAATATACTCATATTTTCTTTCCACCTTGGATGATTGATATTCCTAGTTAACATCGCTGGAATGAGCTTTGTAGGGATTCCCGAAAGAGTCCCGCGGGAACAGATCGACCGTATTTTCAGTGTGAATGTGACGGGGACTATCAGACTTACCCAGGCAGTCCTTGCCCACATGAAGAAGCGACGATCCGGAAAGATTATCACCTTTTCAAGCTTCGCAGGTAGAATTGGTAAGTCTTTTCACTGACAATACGAGTAAAACGACAGCTAACCAAACCTAAAATATCTGTCCAGTGAATCCTCAGGAAAATGCTAGAGAGGAGGTCAACGAGACCTTTTAGTAATCACTTATTGGGGTTGATATTCATCATGTTTATCTTATTCTTAAGTATTATATGATATGTATTTGTACATTTATTCAAATATGTCATTCAGAGATTTATTTCCAATAAAATGGCCTGTCGGAGGATCCAAACAATTGAATTAAAAAAGAAGAAAAAAAATCCTCCACTAACACGTTGCTTACATGAACCGGGTGGTTCCTGTGAGTGGTAGACCTACCTGTTCTAAGCCTATGGTTAATGATACACTTCACTAGTCATTGGATTTAAGTCTTTCTTCGTTTAAGAAACTCGTCCTACGCCCCTCCCCTCTCTCCTTCGCTCTATCTGACTCTCTCCATCACTCCTCTTATAGATAGATTATTGAAGAAACGTTATTATAAACCCCATCTCTTCTCCTCTTTGACCGTCATCGCATTCGAACTTATCTTTCGTTACGTGTTCTATTAATATCTGGCAGGTTTCCCATATTCTGAGTTTTATTGCGCATCGAAATTCGCCATCGAGGGTTTCTTCGAGTCACTTGCTGCGGGTTTACGTAGCTTTAACATTAGGTGAACTTATTTTGTTTTGCTTACGAATTGCTTAATTATTTGTGTGTACACTTGTAGTGATAAAACCATTGACATACACGCTATTTGGAATTCAATGTCAACGGTATTAAACCAAACGTGATCAATAGCGTAAAATCCCCCAAAATGTTCTTGAAATTGACCGCTAAAGGGGGTTATTTGCATTTGTGGTGACGGTCATACGTGTCACCCTCTGCGGAGGGAGAGTGACCCCACCGGGTTAAAATCAGAACTGTTTCTGTGTGGAAGGCTGAACAAACTTTGTGATTATCAACAAATAATATTGAATACTACCGTGAATTTGCAATACAAGTTTATGAATGGGAAAGTGATATCCCTTGTAGAAGCAGATTGAAGGAAATTTGTTGGCTCTCTTCCATACTCGTCGGGGTAGATTTGCCATCTGTCCTACATTTACTAAATGTTTTAAATGGTTTCCCTATTCTTTTTGAGAATATTAACAAGTTCGTACAGACAGCCATATTCGCAGGAGACAAACACAAATGTTTAGAGGAACTTTAAGGGGTTAACAAAACGCTTATATAAAACTATCAGGAGTTTGACGACTCCATACCTCAGGCAACTTGGTGCTAATCAGGCTTCTTTTTTTTGGGGGGGGGGGGGGGGATCTAACCAACCTTTGAAAATAATCATACGATTCCCATTTTAGTTCGAACACCATCTATAACCAGGGATAATGTCTTTATTCACAGAGTCTGCTTGATCGAACCAAAGGAGGTCAACACAGGCCTTTGGGACGGAATGAAACAAGACATGGAATTATTGGCAAACGATGAAACTACCTCGGACGTTGATCGCCGTCAACTACGTATTACCCTGGCTCGATCACGTGAAGGCGCTGCTCTAACTGTAAACGACGTCGTAGATGCTGTGATGACGAATTGCTTGGACGTCGATAAACCAGTGCTCAGACACCTGATCGCTGGAGAAACAAATGATCTTATTCAGAAAACTGCTTTGGATTTGACTGGAGAAGCTGGTATTGATGCTTTAGGTTTCAAGAATCTCCGCGACCATAGCAATAATTCCCAATAATCCTTTGAAATGTATTCACCGATTTGGAGAGATGAACACGGAAGTCAGCCGCAATTACTTGGGCTATTTTCGTAATGTAACAACATTTAATACACAGGTCTTTGTGAAGTGCCTCAATACAAATTATTTAATTCACCTGATAAGAAAAGTAGTATTTCAATAGACAAAATTCGAACTGCATACAGTTAACGGTCCAGTTGAGAATACTATGACAGGTTGATTTTAGCAAGAAACAGAAAAAGACTCTTATGTAATAGTAGAGCTGTGATGGCCGAGTAGTTAAGGCGTTGGACTTGAAATCCAATGGGATCTTCCCGCGTAGGTTCGATCCCTACTCGCAGCGTGTTCTGGTTACTTTTACTTTTATCTCTGTCAATGTCATGTTGGTAAATATTTCTTTTTACAATGAATGCTATTGTAAGATAATATTTTTGGGATGTGATAATTGCATTGTATTTTGATAATAAATTGCGTTCACCAAGTATCATATATAGATTCATTACAGGTTTTGTTGTTCTAATGATTTACAAAAAAACCCTAATTTGACATGTGTTTGAACAAAACAATCCAATGTAACATTATGTTGACAGTGCAGCACGGGCTAATTTGGTGCAATATAGTCCATACTGATTAAATGAAAAAGTACAAATTTTATTTAAATATGGTTGTCCTCTTTTACGTAGAGCTGTGATGGCCGAGTGGTTAAGGCGTTGGACTTGAAATCCAATGGGATCTTCCCGCGTAGGTTCGAACCCTACTCGCAGCGTGATTTAGTCACATTTTACTTTTATCTCTGCCAACATAAACAAATATATATATATACTTAGATTTGGTCTATTCCTCCGTACATTGCTCAATGCTTATGGGCAGAGCAAAATATATATTGGATAAGGCAGACTAATGGAACATGGTTGCAACTCCGAGTTTCACGCCTTGCGAGCGATAATCAGGCAACTGGTAGCATGATTACTCTACAATCTACAATACATTCAAAATAAGGCTTAACTAATACAATACAATACAAAACAATAAGATCTACTCATGGGTGAAGGGGCTATTGTAATTGCTCAGGTAATGCGATGGAATTTTAAATATGGGAGGGGGTATCGCAAAATAGTCTCCACCAAGGTGCTAGTACATAAATATATATATATATATATATATATATATATATATATATATATATATATATATATATATATTTAATTAAGTATAGTCTCTTTTGAAGTTGCAGAGGTAGAATTTGTTTTCATGGCGGCATTTGGAGATGAGTTCTGGTCTTTTGTTTAGGAGTACTCCAGCGAAACGAAGAAATGCAACCTGTGCCTAATTGAGAAGCTTGCCATCATCAACGCCGAGAAACAGACACTCCTGAACAAAAGACCAGAACTCATCTCCAAATGCCGCCATGAAAACAAATTCTGCCTCTGCAACTTCAAAAGAGACTATACTTAGTTAAATATATATATATATATATATAATATATATATATATATATATATATATATATATATTTATGTACTAGCGCCTTGGTGGAGACTATTAGCCATGTGAAGGAGACAGTAATTTTTTTATTCGGTATTTTTTATTGGTATATACCTGTCAGAGAAAAGGACCGATCGGCTTCGTAGAACGTGAATCTAGAGGAGTCACTCAACTACGCCCGAGAGGATTTCGACTTCGCCTCTTGATCTGACGGGAGGATAATGATATCTTGATTTTTTGTTTTAATATTCATAATGACCATATATAGGCAACCTTTAGTCACGAACCAGCTCAGATGGTTCAATGTTTGAACACTGTGCCCCCATCCCTTCCATGACCGAACCAGAAAACCTTTATCATTATGCCCTAACAAATTTCTGTAGGACTCATTTTTTGTTTAAATCAATAATAACTTTAATCAAGAACAGGATGTCGGTTTTTTGTAACTTAAATTAGATTCCTGTTACACTGAAGAAAATGTGTTGTATTTTTAAAATAAATTATGAAAATACTTGTTATACTGCAAATTGCCTTCTACTCTATCATGTGCATCGGACACGGGGGGGGGGGGGGCATGCGGTACGAGATCATTCATTCATAGTCCATTGCTCTACCATAGGTCCATTCACGGAGAAGGCTGTCATTATCATGGATGCAGCATGTGCTCAAGAACTAACCGGTCGATGTAATACGTTCTTATAACGCAAGGAATCTTTAATTGCCGAATTTTGCTTCTTGTTGTGCTTGTCAATTGGCGCTTAGCTGGAATACTCCCTTTTGTTGAAATCAAAATTATTTATGATTTCTTTATTCTATAGCACTTCAACATTCGGTAAGTAAGGCATTTTCCTAACACTTAGTATGCTATGCTTGCAATAAAGAGGGAATATGATAACTATGTTCGTCTCAGATATGTGTCTTTGTGTAACAATACTAAAGGCATCGTTTAACAATGTTAACTCTGAGATGCATGGTCCTACGCGTTATCAGTGTATATGACATGGTGTAATATTGAAGCCCTAAAACAACTGCGCTTCAAAATGATCATGAAGTGCCTCCAAAAGAGTAAAAATCTTTGAGTGACCAGTTTTACCATACTCGTTTCCCCCAAAAGACTGGAGTGTTATGAAAAACGTTAGGAAAACGCAACATTTGATTCCGATTTCCTATCATAAATATCTTGATAATCAGACAGGCGATTGGTTGGTAAACGTCATGGGGCTCCTGACTGACCTAAAGTTTTATACTTATCATTGCATGAGCTAAATCCAGGATGTTGTTTCAGAATCTGAGACAAAAAACTAACGGGGCCTGCGTGCAAAAATTGAGAGGGAGGGTTTTGGGTCTAACTTGGTATAGGAAATGCGAGCAAACAAGGCAATCGAGTGCGGGGCGGAAGGGAGGCGTATCCGAGCTCCCCCTCTCATTACCTTTTCTCCTAAACTCACTCTCAGCTCTTCTCTCATGTTTCCCTCACTATTTTGATATGGGGGGGGGGGGGGGGTGGTTGCCCGGCTCCTGTTCACCCTGCATCAACGGGTCAGCCTTTGCATACTTTGGAATGTTCGATTGTTAGAGTTTCCGTAGATAAACGTTAGTGTTGACCAGCACCAAGGAAAGCGGATGTACCAAATCGTCCTGGCCTTATCTGACTTCAAGTCAAAGGAAATGAGAAAATTTCTAATGACTTTACGGAATGTTGTCATACAAAGAAACATCTGTCACATCGCCAATGCAGATCTACCAAATAAGCTGATATATTGGCCTCCAGGATTATGTGCAATGGGTCATGAGCATCATGTGTCCTTTATCTATACATTTCGCCCACAAATGGCTCGTTTTTGGTATTAACTTAGGTCGATGGTAATAATAACAATTGTATATAATAATTATATTTTTGTTAAATTACATAATAATGGATGAAAAACTCCTCATACGTGACTCACAGAATGGTTGGAACAAACTAGAAGGATCCTATAATTGATCTTTAACTTTGAAATAACACGGGGATACATACATGGGAAGTATATTCAACTCAATTAAATTTATTGATTTCATAAAATACAAAGATATAATATTCAATAAAACTGTGCCTATAAAATCGCATTAAAAACCAATGGCTTGCAATAAAACCCAGCAATTATCCTTACAATCAGAGTAATGAAAACAACAAATGCAAAATAGAAACAAAGCTAAAAACGAAACGAAAATCATTAGCACATTACAAACAGTAACAAAGTAAAAACAAAATCAATGGATGGTAAACGGTGGGGGAAATGGGAGAGTGAAGCTATAGTAGATATATCTCTCAAATTCGATTTCGCCAACATATCTTATTTTTGTGAAGTTTATTACCTCTCTGTCCACATTATCTATCGCTAACGATTTTTGTTGTTGTTGTGTCTTAACATTTGAAAATTTGGCCAATCGCTATTTCGTGTCGTTGGGGGGAGGGGGGGGGGAGGGGGGTAAGGTCAGCTTTTTGGGTCAATGTTTATACAGCCCTCGATCCCTTCCTCATCCTCATATGTGACTTAAAACTATGACAAAAAGGAAGAGTGTATTTTCGGACAATTTTTATTATCATTATTATTCTTCCTTTTTCCTTTTTTTCGTTGGGGGGGGGGGGATTAATTAGTCAATGTCTGCAATTGAATCGAGTCCGAAAGCAGCCAGTCCAGCTTCTCCCGTCAACTCCCCGGCGGTTTTTGTGAAGGTTTCACCGGATTCCCCATCGATCATTTGTCTGAGTACGGGTTCGTCGACGTCCAGACACTTCGTCATCACCACGTCCACGACTTCGACTACTTTGAGTATTGTGGACACCTGTATGTTAGCGTGCCTGTTGCGAAGCTGACGGCGGTCGATTTCCGTGATGGTCTCATCGTTAGCGCCTGCTTCAATCTGCTTCAGAACTCCGCCCCAAAAGCCCGTGTCGACTTGCCTGGGCTCAATCAAGCACACCCTTTTAAAGAAGACGTAAACGTTATGGTCAGGGCAGGTTATATGGTTCGTGGTAATCTTCCATGGAATTTAGTATTTTCTGAAGTCAATCTTAACCTGGATCACACACTATGAATAATACATTTTAAATATTGATCTTTTTAAAGCCCCACAGTACTACTTGTAGCTACTTGCTCCATCTATATAAAACACAATGGATAATCGGTGACCATTGGTCGTCCCCTGATGATCCTCTTTTTCTTATGTTAATTGAGAGCTCAGTTGTTGACATAGCCACCTGTCAGTAACCTCCCTGGGTGGTATAATCCCTTCTAGCCAAACTAGTACAGACGACCTTTAATAATTCTGATATTATCTTAGACTCAACACAACTGTGGAAAAAATAAAATCATACACAATATACAATACAAATACAATTTACCTGATATTGAATGCACGGAGTCCTGCTGCTAGAGCCTCAAAGAAACCATCGACAGCAAACTTTGAAGCGTTGTACACTTCAGAGTATGGACAACCTGTTGCATAATTATCATCCACGAAATAAAACAACGTCACGTGAGGTTGTGAATAAGAACAGACGGGTATGGGATTGCGGTAATGGTTTGAATGGGGGGGGGGGGAACGGGAGTGGTAAGGAGTGAAGAGAGCAAAAGGGAATGGGGAGTGAAAGGCAGAGGAAAAAAGATAATAGAAAAACGACGAATGTTTGATATAATTTTAAAGCCCCACTGTTCTACTTGAAGCTACTTGCTCCCTCTATATAGAAAACTTCCCCAATCGGTGCCCGTTGGTCCCCCATTATCCTCTTTTTCTTATGTAAGTTAAGAGCTGAGTTAATGAGATAGCCATCTGTCAGTGACCTCGCTGTGTGGTCTAATCCCTTCTGGCTTAGGAGTATTGACGGTCTTTAAGTAAAGCATACGATATAAACATAGTGCTTCCCTTCTGATCAATTGAAACATTGAAGTAAGCGTGGGGAAAAGGGTAACTATCCCCTCTCTCTTTGATACTGACGTGTTACAGACCACGACATAACGAAAGAGAACAACATTTTTTGTTATATCAACCGTCTCTTTGCCTCAGGATTCTGATATGAAATAGAGGCGGAGCGTTTTACTTACAGAGTGGCGTAGGTGCCAAACAAAGCTTCCCTATACGACTTGCCAATTAAATGTTTTTGTTTTTGCATCTGTATATAACTATCATATATTGTTGACATTTTTTCTGAAGTTGCATCTTGGAAAAAGAAAGAAAACAAAACATACACAAAGAACCATTTCGTATGTTTGGTTGGTTCGGTTCGTTTCGGAGGCTGGCCAAACCCCTTTTTTGAAGACAAGTTCACCACGTAAATATACACAGGCACGGTCCCTGATGATAGGAGAAACATTCAGTAAAGTTTTCCCATCGAATACTCACCTATCCTGCCTGCAACACTTGAAAAGGTGATAATCTTTCCCGATTGTTTCTCTTTCATGTGAGGCAGCACTGCCTGGGTAAGTATGATGGGTCCGATCACATTCACGTTGAAGCTGAGGTCAATCTGTTTCCGCGTGATTCTTTCGGGGACTCCGTAAAAAGCAACTCCGGCAATGTTGACTGAAACAAAACAGGAGAAATGAAAAGTCAAGACCCACGTTTGAATAAATCTAGGATCATTATACAGAGTGTCCTAGAAAAAAGGAAACCAAGAATTATCTACGTTTTTATCCTAACTTAATCAGAATTATAATTAAAAAATGACACATATTTGTAAAGCTTAGTTCCTCATCTTTCATATGACGCATATTTTACGCATAAGAGATTAAAAACAGTTTGAAGAAAGGGAACCAAAAAGTAATTTGGCGAATGTATCTGACTTTCACATTTCTAGAAAGATCATTTTCTTCCCTTTTTATGACACCTCAATCAGGAAAAAAAATGAGCCTAAAATACAAAGTCTGTTTGTTTAAAGTAATGCTTGCATTTCCATAATTTTATTACACGAATTCGTTTTCACTGGATGCCTGCTGTAGCAACAAACAACAAATTCCGTTTTGTTGACGATCAGCCATGCATGAAGTTTTCGCCCTCTTTTTTGTTTTTTATAATATATCTTGATAAAAAGAAGTAGAAGAAGGAGAACAAGATTAAGATGATGATGATGATGATGACAATAATAGTAATAATAAAAAGAAAATAATGATAATAAAAATAATAATAACAAGAGAAGAGGAAGAAAAAGAAGAGAAGAAGAAGATGATTCAGGAGTGTTTTCTTACGCAAGACATCGATACGTCCATGACTCTTGATGACATCTGCGACTACTTCAGTGATGTTTTCATCCTTTGTGATGTCCAACTCTTTTATGAAAACTTTACTACCGAGGTCGTCCTTGACTGCAGCTTCGAGGTCGTTCTTCTCCGACATCGCAATCACCGTGGCAATGATGATAAATCGCTGATCGGGGTCTCGAGCGAGACGTTGAACCATAGCGAGACCGATTCCGCTCGAACAACCGGTCATGAGGACGATTTGAGGAGCCATCTTGACAAATGCCAGCTGTGTGTAATATCATATGGGAAGAATCGTACAATCTCTGTTATAGTTAAAGGGACTTGGTAACATTGTTCAGATGAGAGATAGTGGTGCTAAGGTAGTGACTTCAATGCTAGATGTACAATTAAAGATAATCTGAAAATTTGAGTGAAAACGGACCATTTTATTCATGGTAAAAATTGAGAAAAACTGATTTGATCAATTCCTTAATTCTCCCAACTATATTATTACAATTTGATTACATTTTAGGTAAATGGAAATCACACAAAGCAAGAAAATGCCACTAAATTCCATTTCAGACATTTAAGTGTTCACAGATTTTTTGTAGCCTGTTTTATTTTTTTTTTCATGGAAAAAACGGTTGGGAAAATTCAAAAATGGTTTGGAGAATTTACTGTTAATCACTGTTAGAGGGTGTCATACATCGACTCCTTCAAAGAAAACCATAGATATCTTCGTGGTTTGAGAATTTTTTCAGGATTTTTTGCATGTCAGAGGGTTAGTACAGTAGAAGTAATATAGTAAGTAACATTGTATACAACAATTAAGCAATTTTGTCATCAACCTTCAACAATGTTACCAAGTCACTTTAAGCTTACCTCCTATTATATAAAAGAATAGAGCATGATGACAATTCGATGCATTAATGAATAAACATAACCTTGCCCTCCCGCGAACCGATTTAATTCCCCCCCCCCCTTTATCAAGAACAATATTAAAATCAATAACTGCAACCCTAAAACTTAAAAACTAACCAACCAACAAACAATATATATATTGCCTTATCTAGACGTTACACCACTCACAACCAATTTCTATACACTTGGACAAACTGTCCAAAGGTAAAATCACATATCAATTATGTTTCAGTCTTTTGTACCCGACCGACACAATTCGGGCTTGAATCGTTAATTTGAAAAAAACCTGAAATTATCTACCATAATTGTTGCTTCATCAAGTACAGCCAGGTTATGATAAAATTGTACTCTGAGAGGAATATTCTGAACTGGATGGACCTTCGATTCAATACAATCAATCTGCTCCGTTCCCCACTGAGTCATGTTTCTCCCTTTTTGCCGTGAGATATAAAATGAACAATTCTGCTCAGAATGGAATCAACGTGCAATGAAAGAACGACACACAAACAAAAAGAAGAGGCGAGCTTTCGCGACTTTTATCGCTGCAACTTTGCTGAACGAAAATTCGATAAATGGCCTGGCCCTCTATTTTTCAATAAATTTTCAAATTTCTGCTTCAATGTTATTTTGTTCGTTTGTTGGCATTTCCTATAATTTCTTCTATCCGTCTAATGGCATTGAAATGACCACTAATTGGGCAAAGCACAATTTTTAAAAGTAGAAATACAACTAGTACATAGTGTCATCGCTAACTAGTACAACGTGCCATCAATTATAAATATTATAAGACCTTTACAAAACAAAACCTCTTAGAGATTATAAATAGTCATGCAGCCACTTTACAAGGGTTAAAAGCTAATGTTCAATAGCCGACTTGAGATGCAAGTTTTAATCTTCATTCGGGAATGAAATATTCGATCTCCTTGCGATTTATTTAGGTTCTGAGACCAAAATTTAGATTTGAACCTTTTTTCTTCTTCTTTTTTTCCCTTCCACTAGTTCCCTTTATTAAATAATGTCGTTCACATATGTTAACATTCAAGAAGAGATATATAGATGCAGAATTTTCTCAGTGAGACCGATGCCACGTACCCCGCCCCCTCCCCCTTAATGGGTACGGTATCCTCCTAAGGATACTTGAAGATTACGAACCTGAACAAAATGAGTAGAAAACAATTACTTTTAGGCTGCTGACGACTTGTATACATGGTACAAATCAAAACATGCAGATTGTTTCTCAATTTTGGCCTAAACGTTTGAACTCTATATAGGCATCGTGTATAAAGCCTCTCTATATATAAATATCTTCTCTGTCGCTCGCTGTCTTTTTCTCTATCTGACTGACTCTTTCTTTCCCTCTTTCAAAGTAATCCTCAAATTCTATCTTCTCAAATGTTAAAAGTTATTGAACGTAGCAGTTTTACTCACGTCAATGGTGTAGAAGACTGGCTACTTCAGGTTTCAGGCCTCTCACTTGCACCGATTCAAGAATACCAAGACAAACGACACCACCCGTTAATGCAATTTGATAAAAGTGAATATAACACATATCACTGTGAAAGTAAAAACTAGGTCCATGAATTGACAGATTTGGGGTAAGTTCAGGAAAAGCACTCAACTTACAGCATCCGGGCAAGTCCAGAATCTGGCCTATTTAGTTTTGACCCCCATCATACCAGCGCTACTTCCTAGTACCCACTCGCTACCAGCCGATGATGGCGTGATCATTAAATTAGGACGCCAGGCTGGGTTGGTGACGTAATTATGATTATGTTGATAACGCCATCTTCACCGGCTTGAATCGAGTGGGTAGGGAATACACCAGTTTACAGTTGTATCAGTGCGCATGCGCAGACATGGGCGCCATTTTAAATGGTGAGTAAACAAAGCCAATGACCCGAGGTCACGTCAGTGGTATTTAGGCTAAGCGTAAATTAAGATTGCGCCCATGCAAATTATGATAACATCACTGCCTGCGCGCTGCGTTGTGCGCTCACATCATAATTTGCATGGGCGCAATCTTAATTTACGCACAAACCAAATGACCTCTAGGTCATTGGCTTTGTTTACTCGCCAATTAAAATGGCGCACACAACTGTAAACTGGTGTATTATATCGGAAAGGGCAGATTCTGGACTACATCCGGGCCCTTAACTTGACCTTTGCCTTTCGGTGATCCGATATTTGCTTCGACGAAAATAGCTCGTTTTTTAAATTGAATATCATTCCTATAGAGTTGAGGTAGTAATGGCAGTTGGGCCTGAATTTGGGTTTTGGTGTGATTAAAGGTTGAATAGTGTTTGATCTAGGGTTAAAATTACGAATTCAGTTCGTATGATTCGTATGATGGACCATAGTTCCTTGGTCTCCCTCTGGGAAGTACTTTATTTTTTCCTAAATGATTAATGAACATATATCTAAGAAATTTCCTATCTCAAAAATGTGTACATTTTGTCACAGTTTTGATATTAAGTTGCAAACATCACTGTATGTAGCAGACATCCATTTTGCTACGATGATGTCATAGATGTTCCTTAATTGACCAATCACAGCTGTGGTCTTAGAGGCCAGTGTGCAAATGACCAATCACAGTCTCTGTACTCTGAATGTTTATATGCATGCAGTGTCTGCTGTCATGGAGCGAGTACAGTGCTCCTACTGCAGCAATATAATCGCACATGTCTACATGCGATACACCGACAAAACTAAGATTGAGATGGCCAAGAAGAAGCAAAGAAGATCGGTACATAAAGGTTATTTATTGCTGTCATTTCAAAAATATTCCAAAAGCATTTTTATGATTAAACATTAAAGTATTCATCAGGTTTTAGTCGCATGACTGTTGGCCCAGTTGTTTACACTACAGTCCCATGCATTGTTATTTGTGTTACTGCTAAGGTCTGGGTTATTCTGAGTGGGCTTATCTCTCGTTATTCCTGCAAACTGTCCAAGTTTTATTCATCGTATGCACTTCTGTGTTACTGCGAGTGCTGAATCTCTGTGCTCATGTTTGTGTTGTAGGTTAGAAAGTAATAACTATTAAGCTAAATGAATGTAAGTATAAAGACAAACAAAATGGAGCCTGCAGAAACACGTGTGGTTGCTTTGGTAGTTTAATCCAAACTCAATATCCATGTGCTTTTACATATGCATCAATCTGTGTAGTGAACATAAGACCCTTGCATACACTTGAATTGTGTGTATGCATCTAATACGAATAACAATGAGCTGTGCCTTGTCGAAATTGATTTGATCGAACAAATGTTTTTAAGAGTAAAACTGTTATACTTGAAATTTCGCAACTTCAACAACTTCAAACGTGAGCATTCATATGAAGTCTAATATTCATGCCTGTACCCTTTACAATAAACTCTTGAGATGTGAATAGTAAATACAACTGTACCAATATCAAGGTTTACTTCTAAAACTTTTGATTTCTCATTTCAATAAATTTCACAAGTTCCAAAACCTTTTGCTAACTGCTTATATGCAATGAACTGTAATGAAACAATCTATTTCTATATTGTTCACTTTGTACCCCCGAAAGGTTTCAAAACTGTTTCACATTACAAATACTCTGACGTACATAAACATATGCAATGTAATGACCAACTTCAGAATGAATAACTTTGTTGAACTTGCATGAACTTATCTGTGTTTAAACATACTTCTTGTTCTGAATCATATTTTCATGTGACATATTGATCTGAAAAGCATGACTATTCTAACTCTTGCTCCCTTTCTATGTAACTTTTCTGGCCACCTGACATGAATTATGTAACTCAGAATTTCTCATAATCTCTCAGGTAACTCGGTTCTTTCCGAATTCTTGGACTTCTTCTTACAACCTGCTTTGGCGAGGCTTGAGCGGCACACCCTCATTTAAATCAAATCTGAATATCCCCCCCCGGGGGGGGGGGGTTTAAAAACTTTAATTTGTTGGTGCTTTGAAGTAACCATATGTGCCAAATATGCCAAATCTGTGATCTATATCGTTATGGACTGTTGCATATGTTTATGTAAACCATGTCTATTGGAGTCATACTGTTTGGTAGCCACTCAATTTGAAAGTAATTTTCAGTGCACTTCTGATTTTTACACTTTAGAATTAAAGTGACTCGGTAACATTGCTGAAGGTTGATGCAAAGATTGCTTAATTTGTGTACAAAATGTTACTTACTATATTCCTTCTTCTGTACTACCCCTCTGACATGCAAAACATCCTGAAAAATTCTCAAACCATGAAGATATCTATGGTTTTCTTTGAAGGCGTCACTGTGCAACACCCTCTTACAATGATTAACAGTAAATTCTCCCAACCATTTTTGAATTTTCCCAACCGTTTTTCCATGAAAAAAAGACACAAACCAGGCTATTAAAACACTTAAAGGTCTGGAATGGTATGTAGAGCCATTTTATTGCTTTGTGACAATTTACATTCACCTAAAATGTAAATAAATTGTAATAATATAGTTGGGAGAATTAAGGAATCGATCAGATCAGTTTTTCCCAATTTGTATCATTAATAATGGTCCGTTTTCACTCAAAATTTTAGATTATCTTTAATTGTACATCTAGCATTGAAGTCACTACCTTAGCACCACTATCTCTCATCTGAACAATGTTACCCAGTCCCTTTAAAGTGACTAAGTGAGTATAGTAGAGAAAAGTTTCGAAGAGCTTAGAAGTTACAATACATGTACCTGCTTACTTTGGCTGAATTAATTAAATATAAATATGAATAGATCCAGAGACGTACCGTTTTAATATGACAGAGCTTCATAGTCTAGCATTGTGCTTTCTAAACATGTTAAATGACATCTGATGGTGTATACATATATAATGCTTATATGAAATACATAAAACATGGTTTAATATGTCAACGTTGTTTTGGACTGAACTTGTAGTGTAAAACTTTGTTTTAATTTTTTTTTTAGTAAATAGAACATTAAATACTATACTATAAAAATCATTCTGTCGTTGCTTTTCATGTTTGGTCACACAGAGAGAAAATATGGATGGATTCATCAAGAAAAATAGATAACAAATGGTATTTAAGGAATTTATGATATGCAATTATGCTTGTGTCTGGGGATATATGAAAGGGGCATGTGTTACTTGTGTGTTCATATGCATGAGGGGCATTTTAATTTACAAGTCAAAATTCTTTTTCGTTCGTAATTAATTTCATTCATTATTTCATGGACAAAGTCTCGACTAAAAGACTCAAATATTTCGGCCACGTCCTAAGAATGAAACCCACAAGATACCTCAAAATTGCTGTTGAATAAATCGTCACAGGAAATCGACCCAGAGGCCGTCCACCCAAACGATGGCTTGACTGCATCTCAGAGGACTGCAAAAAATGATTCATAACAAGACTGACAGGTGCATCAAGAATACCTGGCATACCATCACCATACAGAAGCCATCACGAGGTCCCTTGCCTGGGGCTGCATGGACGGCATAGTCAAAGTAAGTCATTATTTTATTTGGTATGAATATGTCTACGTGTTTGTGTGTTGGGGGGGGGGGGGGGGCTTCCCTGCATATACATGTAGATCTTTGTGTGGTAGTGGTGGCTGTGTACGAATAAAAGAATAAGCATGGTATGAAATTTGGTTAGAAAACATCTTTTTCTGATTGTATGATTGGAAACTACTGTATATTTATGTCGTTTTCTCTTCATGGAGCTGGTTTCCGGGGGGGGGGGGGGGGGGGGGGGGGGGGGGAGGAAAGCTAGGGGTAAGGGGGTATGGGACATGTGACTAATAATGCCATCCCTTTGGAAAACTTGATAAACAGACATATGCACCTGTACCTATATTCATAATAATATCAGGTTTCATGAGACTTTTTACCAATGTATATACATGTATTAATTAAGGTACTAATTAATATACACATCAAAGTTGTATATGATTAAACATCTATTCATAACATCACACTTCTCAAAACACCATTTATATGCACGATAAGCATATTTCCTGCAAAAAATGCCAATAAATATCTCCCCTATTATGGTTGCTAGGGAGGAAAAGTCCCTAGCAACTAATTCTTAACTTTCTCTTGGTTTGCCTTAATTAGTAGTAGGAGACCAGCCTGTAGCTCCCGCTACCAATCTCTGGGAACAAAGGTTTGAAAGTGTTTTTGTGTTCCCTGATGAATACCGAACCATTTTGACTTGGGCTGCCCCCTTCAAAATCCCGGGCATTTTCGTGAGGGGTCAACAAAGGTCATACAGGGTAGAAATTCAAATATATTTCAATCGTGTCGATATGCATATCAAATTACTCGTCTGGTCGTGAGGATTCCAACAATGTATAGTTTGCTATACCTCCGACCTTAAATAAGGGCGCTATGGTCAAAAGCGTTGAAAGGTCAACACACTTTTGACTGGTGGTCAAATTCACCAACACAGTTAACCTTATCAAATTGCATATCAATTTACTTGTCTGGTCATAAGGATTCCCAAAATGTATAGTTTGTCATACCTCCGACCTTAAATGGGGCGCTGTGGTCAAAAAGGTCAATGCACTTTAGAAATTCACCAACACAGTTAACATTGTCCGATTCTAATGATTTAATGGTCTAATAATATGTTTTCTGACATGGCAAATTCAACTATTCAACTTTCAAAAGTAAAAGTGCTTACCTTGACCATGTACATTCAAAATGGCTGCCGTTTCGGTGACAAACATCTAACAACTTCTTATCCATGGGTTTGAGGGAAATTTCAAGGTTATGGCAACCCCTTTTGATTTTAAGAGTTGCTTAGTTGAATTTGTTATGTCAGAAAACATATTATTAGACACTAAAATCATTAAAATCAGACGATGTTAACTGTGTAGGTGGATTTTTAAAGTGCATTGACCTTTTTGACCATAGCGCCCTCATTTAAGGTCGGAGGTATAACAACCTATACATTTTTTTGAATCCTTATGACCAGACGAGTAATTTGAATTTGTTTAGGTTCATTGAGTTGGTGAATTTGACCACCAGTCAAAAGTGTGTTGACCTTAATAATAATAATAATAACTTTTACTTATATAGCGCTTTTCATAAAACATTTATATCAAAGCGCTTTACAATATTGATACAATTAAAACTAAACAGAGTAATGACAAGAAAACAAATATAAAGTGAAATTATGAAACATAAGATAACAAGGTAAGGTAACAATATAAGAACTAGGTAACAATTTAAGAACTAGGTAACAATTTAAGAGCTAGGTTGAATTTCAACGTTTTTGACCATAGCGCCCTTATTTAAGGTCGAAGGTATAGCAAACTATACATTGTTGGAATCCTCAAGACCAGACGAGTAATTTGATATGCATATCGACACGATTGAAATATATTTGAATTTCTACCCTGTATGACCTTTGTTGACCCCTCACGAAAATGCCCGGGATTTTTAAGGGGGCAGCCCAAGTCAAAATGGTTCGGTATTCATCAGGGAACCCAAAACACTTTCGAACCTTTGTTCCCAGAGATTGGTCACGGGACCTACAGGCTGGTCTCCTACTATAGCTACTGCTCAAGTTTCAAACGTGGGAACATGTCAATTTTGTTTAAGATACATATTTCCAAGATATCTAATACATTTGTAGGTACGCCGAAGCCCGTGTCGTGCGTACAACCCTGCCGATCGTGACGAAATATTTATAGAGCCAGAATACATGAGGGTGTACTTTGTATACACCAAGTAAGTTGTCCACCATCACCATTCGTCATTGAGAAATACAACATATAGACAGTAATTGCCATATTCTCCACATTTATTCCAATGGGTTAATTTCCCAATGTTAACCGTTTGACTTTCAACATTTTCAACAGTATAGCACACTCATTGTACAAGCATTGGGGTACAGAGAAAGGGGGAAAGGCTGACTGAAAACTAGATACCAAGTAGGGGGAACCCAGGTCACTTGACCAACCGGGAGGAAGAAATCCAACCGATAGTCCCAGTTTCCTGGGATTAGGGATTCCTTAAACAACCTCTAGCAATCATAGGCCCTCCTTACCATCCTGCGAACCGCTTTCCCCTGTTATCAAGAACAATATCAATATTAATAACAAGAAACATGAAAACTTCTAATCTAACCAACCAACCAATAATATATATATTGTTATTATTTCACTGTTATCTAGACGTTACATTACGTGTAGCCAATTTTCATTCACATGGACTTCCTGTCCAAAGGTTAAAAACATATCAATCAAATTTTGAACCCGACCGTCACGATTCGGACTTGAATCGTTAAACACGATTAAGCTATAAGCAAAGTCTGTAAATTATCTACCATATTAGTTGCTTTATCATGTAGGTTATGATAAAATTGTATTCTTAGATCAAAATTCTGACCTGGATGGACCTTCCATTCAATTTAATTATTTTACTCCGTTCTCCACTGACACATATTTTTCACATTTTGCCGAAAGACACAAATAAAAATAGAGAGGAGGCATGCTTTAGCGAGTTTCATTGGAACAACTTTTGCTGAACGAAAATTCGATAAATGGCCCTCTATCGTGAGATTTATTTTCTAAATTCTGCTTCAATGTTAGTTTGCTTGTTTGTTTTGAATTTCCTATAACTTCTACTATCCGTCTAAATATCATTGACATGTCCATCAATAAAGCAATTAAAGCACAAGATTAAAAAAACTAGAAATACACCCTGTACAACAAAAACATAGTATCATCGATTAACAAGTCCAACATTTCATCAACGATACACATAACAACACCTTTAAGGCAAAAAACATGTTTAGCGTCCTTTTTTCGAAAAAAAAGGAAGGAGGAGGCCCTTTTTTTAAATCTTTTTTTTCCCCTTCAAAATGGCCGCTCAAAATGGCAGCTCGGTACATTTTCCCTTACAGTCGGGCTATTTTTCAAGATGGCCGCCGACATTTTTTATATTTTTTTAAAATCAGAAATAGATCCATTTTAGCAGTGTTTTTCATGTTTTTTTTCTTTAAACAAAATTTTAAAAAAATAAATAAAAAGGAGGCGGCCCCCAAAAAAGGAAGCGGGCGGGGACGCTAAAGATGTATATTTTTTTTACATGGACTAACACAAATCACCGATTTTAGATTATAAATGGTCATGCAGCCACTTTATGATAGCAATTCTGCCGCTTGACCTTGAGCACTATTATTTAAACAGCACTGCCCACTCGATTAAACTTTGGTTTGTGGACCTTTTTAGGTCGTATGCCCTTTTGCTGATTCGATAAATCGAATAATCGTACTATGTGAAGCAAAGGACGACTACCGATCCTCGTGGAAAGTTTCAACCCCCCCCCCCCCCCAATAACTTCCTGGATTTATCAACCCTCGGGTGGTGTAGCATAGGGGCGTGTGCACCCCCTATCAATTGATGAACAAATGTCAAGAAAAAAGAGAAATATCAACTTAACCACCCCCTTATTAGTAGCATTGTAAATGCGTATATAATTTTCTCAGTGAGACCGATGACTCATGCTCCACCACTTCCCCTCACGGACAGGATACTTGCAGTCTACAGACATGAACGAAATGAGGTGACCACATTTACTTTTATACTGCTTACGACTTGTATACATGCCATGGTACAAATAAAAACCTGCAGATTGCGTATCTCCAGTTTGGCCTATACTTCGAACATTATATAGGCATCGTGTATCTAATGCAAATATGCATCGATACAAAGTATGTTGGCATAAGCTTAGATGCACTTCTAATATAATACATAGAAGTGCATCTATATATTATAAATATGAATGCAAATACACGTCTATGCTTTCATATTATTTGGAAATTATACTGACGCACGTATGAATGTAGAATGCAGCTTATAACATAGCTAGATTAAATTGTGGATAACATTTCATTATAAACATGCCCTCTTTCTCCCGCTCTGTGCCCTCTCTCCCTCTCTCTCTCTCTCTCTCTCTCTCTCTCTCGCTCTCTCCATCTTTCTCTCCCCCTCTCCCCATTCACCCTTCGCCGTCCTTTTTGGAGCCGAAATGAAAGGACAATATTTCGCCGCCCCCCCCCCCCTATCCGATCCGCCCATTAAATTAAAGCATGGGGAAATCAATATCTTTGGGAGGAATAGAAAGAAAATGATGAATCGAAAGATTGGCCTCCGTAGCAATTACGGTAGTTATGAAACGTGAAGATGACATCACAAACAAATGACGAAGTTGCCAAATTGCCTTAATCAGATAGTGATTTTTATAGTGATTCTTGTACTTTAAGATATCATAGATTTCAGAATAATAAACCGATATCCTAAATGTTTGTTTTCATTTGATTCTCTGATTTCCTGCAGTTATACACAGCAACATATTATCCACATTAATGTCCAGAATTCACCTTTTATAACTAAAACATTGTGTTTCAATGTTTCAAATATTGAAGATTTTGCTCCTAGATATTCATTGCAGTAATGAAAAATAGAATGATAGCAATATCACGGTTTTTTTCTTCAAAAGTAATCTTACAAACCAGGCCTTCCCCCTCATATTCGGACTTCCTTTACCTTAAAGTGACTTGGTAACATTGTTGAAGGTTGATGAAAAAAATTGCTTAATTTTTTTATATAATGTTACTTACTATATTCCTTTTACTGTACTAACCATCTGACATGCAAAAAATCCTGAAAAATTCTCAAACTACGAAGATATCTATGTGTTTTTTTTTAAAAGGTCGATGTATGATACCCTCTAACAGTGATTAACAGTAAATTCTCCCAACCATTTTTGAATTTTCCCAACCGTTTTTCCAAGAAAAAAAGACACAAAACAGGCTATAACAAATTGTATTGCTTTGTGACGATTTCACTCAATTTTTCAGATTATCTTTAATTGTACATCTAGAATTGAAGTCACTACCTTAGCAGCACTATCTCTCATCTGAACAATGTTACCAAGTCCCTTTAAACTCGCTTATCTAAACTGCCAGTAAAACATGGAAATATATATGTCGCATCCATCTATCAAGCCCATGGTAAAAGGCAGTTGTGATGATGGGCCCTACTTTATATTTTAAACAACATACTCTAAAGGGCTCTGGCAGACGACTGCAGTGAATTATTTGGAGATAAGAAGTATTTCTTCAGTGGCTGGAGTTACCATACGTCCATTTTCATTTTCGGTCGAAATGGAACGCCAAAAGCTCATCAAATCATCGACCACCTCAGCCGGCGCCGTCTGCCGGAAGTACGCCGCCATGGTGAAGAAGTCGACGAGTTTGTTCCCAAAGTCTGACTGGTCATCAAACACTTCGGTGATGTCCCAAAGTAGAGGTATTTCGACAGTGATGACATCATATCCTTGACTTTGTGCGAACTCTCGAACATTCTTTGAAGAAAGTTGTTGATTTGATTGAGTGCTTTCTGTCAGCCAAGGTAACTTGTGGAATGTTTTTGAGATCAGGTTATCTATAAGCAACAACGAATGAACAAACGTTACTATGATAAAACGTTACTAACTGATGTTAGATCATTTCAAATACTTTGGACAAACTTGGGTATATCACACACAGTATAAACATACATATCATATAATGAGAACAAATTCTGAAATTTAGCTTATAATTTACATCTGATATTATATTTTAACACGGATATTTATCGTTATATCAATATAACAGCGACCACTAAGTCTCTTTTTAAAAAGATTTATTATGTTGGAAATCTCTGGCACTTACTATAGTTTTGGGAAAATCACCTGTAAATAAAAAAAAAAAAATAAAATAAATAAATTAAGTTTTAGCCTAATTCTTGCCGTTCAAGACTTCTACTTTAAAATTATCTATATAATAATAATACTTAAACAATAGGGGCGGTGTATAATGTAGCCTACTATTAGGATTGAGATTATATCATCACAAGAGTTCAGAGGCTATGATCGATATTGACAAAGTTATGAAGTAAACCAAAACAGATCGTATCACGATTCGTATCCATTTTTACTAAGTTCTCCCCCGACGTTGAATATCTTTGAGGTGATTTTACATTTTTTATTTGAAAAACTTGCAGGAGGTGATGGAGCAAATGTTGATGTCAATTCGATACCTACATGTTTTACAAACGATGATCATGATACCCTTGTCTTTCATCAGGGATGCTAGATGGGTGAAGGTCGTCTCAATGTCACCAGTGTAGTAAAGTGAATGTATAGCGCTGATGAGATTGTACTTGTTTCCCGCCAAGGGGCTTTCAGCAAGGAATTGTGACAACGGACCAGGGAACCAATGGAAAGAAGATTTGTCATCAAATTTCAATGTAGCCACTCTACCCTTGAATGTTTGTAGCATGTTTTCATTAGGATCCACTGCAACATTACATATGGATGAGTAGTGAGATTGAAGACTCTTCAGAAACTGAAATTCGTGCAGGCCTGCGAAACACGTAAAATTGATCACACATTTGATTGTATTATATTGTTATAGAGTAGCCTTATTAGTAAACAAATATCGTTCTTTCTGAGGGCCCTGTATACAATTCAGCATACATAATCACAAAATATATAGGGTAACAAAAAAGTAACATATATAAATGTATCCATATATATTTATACTTAGATTGTTTAAATTGACGAAAAACAGGTAAAATACACTGTCGCTCATAAAGGTGGATTTTTTTTTTTTTTTATCCCAATTCATGGAATTATTTCAAAAATTATTTAAAAATAATAAGATCTAGATCATAGTATACATTCTCAGATTTTATTAAATAATAATTTGCCAATGTATGTTTTGCGTGACTGCTAAAGCATGTGTATGCTACAATGTTTATCAACTAGAGGACCCATGCCCTGAAGTCATAAACGACAGTAATTAGGATTAATGCCCCACAAAAGGGCACTAATATAGCATATCGACACTTTTTTTATCCTGGGGTCTCACAGTTACGTGACCATTGCTTTGTCACTGAACCATGACTGTACGCAGCGGGGGCTAGTGTAGGGGGCAGTTTCCATAAATAAAAACAAAACAGAAAATGCAATAAATGTTCAATAATTTATTGCATCTTACCCCGGTTCCCAACATAAAAAAATCTTCTGTGTGCCCATGCCTTGAACCATAATGCATGGCCGTCCAGAGGATTTTTTTTATGTTGGGGACCGGAGTAAAATGCAATAAATTATTGAATTTTTTTTTGCATTTTCTGTATTTTTTTTTAATGTATGGAAAGTGCCCCCTACCCTAGCCCCCGCTGCGTACAGTTATGGTTCAGTGACAAAACAATGGCCTCGTAAGGTTCCATGACACATGCTCCGCCGACGATTGCTCCGCCGACAAATGCTCCGCAAAAAGCGACAATTGCTCCGCGACATTTGCTCCGCGACATTTGCTCCGACGTCAAATGCTCCGACGTCAAATGCTCCGCCGACAGTTGCTCCGCCGACAATTGCTCCGCCGACAATTGCTCCGCCGACAATTGCTCCGCCGACATTTGCTCCGCCGACAATTGCTCCGCCGACAATTGCTCCGCCGATATTTGCTCCGTCCCCAAAGTACCCCGTTGAAGACAAATGCTCCCTTTTGCAGGGAAAAAAAGATAGGAAGAAAGAAAAAGAAAAGAAAAGAAAAGGACAAGAAAACATGGAAAAGAAAAGGTCAAGAAAAGAGACAAGAAAGGGCTGAAGACAAGGGAAAAGGGACACAAAATAGAATATAGGAAGATTAATTACGGTAAATCTTGCCGGCGCTGCGTCGGGACACGTCGGAGAAAAACTAGAAATAAAATGGAGTATGAAATATACTACATGCTCGTGAAATAATCATAAGTGATTAAGGCAGATGGTTTTCAGTTATTATATGAAAAGGATGAAAATTCGCTTGCTCGCTACGCTTTTAATATGTTCGTAAATCGTAATACATTTTGTACATCAGTGATTAACAAGCGATGCTGGTCACGCAGATGCTTTTTAATGTAAAATTGCAAGCCAATGAATTTCGACCATTCGTTAACTAGCTCGCTCGCCAACAAGGAATAAAAAATAAATCCTGGAATAATACTTGCCCATTTGATTCAAATTAAGGGGCGTAATGTAGACAAATTCTATTTAAGATAATAACCTATGATTTTCACCTTCCTTGTTCGCCAAATTAACAAATATTTTTTTTTTTTAAACACACACCCTTAAAGCTACTATTTCCCTTTTGCAGCCAACATCAAATTATGTAGAAATTTGCAGGAATTATAAATATGTCATGTATGTCCTATCTGTGAAAGTTAAACGTTAGCAGTGTCCTAATATTCAAATTATGAAGGAAACCTGTTTATTTGCTAAGCTTTACTGATTAGACGCTATTGAGTGACAAACTGGCTCTTTTTCTTCTTTGGTAATAACATACATAAAATGAGCTGTAAAGGGTACATGAGCATTTTGTCAACATCAATAACCCACTTCTTGTAAGGGCCAAAATTAAAATGATTGAATCTTTGCGCAGCATAAAACATACGACCATTCGGTACAATGGTCTGAAAATCAGACTATTACTTATTGGCTCTATAGCCCTTAAGTCGATTCGACAACTAATAGTCGTTATTTCCCACTTAAAGACATTTTCAAGCCCCCCCCCTTTTTTTTTTATTTTACTGAAGTTCTAAATTAGTATTTAATTTCAAATGCAGTTGGAATTTAACCTTTTCATTTTTTTTGGCCTGCAAATGGGACATAGTACCTTTAAATGTGTTTGTGCCCTCTCTTCCAAGGGTCAAGACGACACAGTTACTTATATAAAAAAATATGCCTATAATTATTATCAAAAGAGAAGTGCAAAAGAACTCGCTCACATGCTACGCTAACTCGCGATTATAATTTGTAACATATTCATTTGACGAGTGTGCAGCTCCTAAACGTCAGACGAAGAATGGCGGAAGGCAGGTAGATGCTATTCAATATAAAATAAGCTTAAAACCGCCCGCTCGCTAAAAATAAAATTGACATCGCCTTAACTATGAATGTACCCGACCCGTCCTGCAGCAAGAAAACTCTGTTGGATACTCATTATTGTTGACAATAATTCATGGGTTAAACGTTCGCTGTTCAGTTTATGGTATAAACGTGCCCATTTAATCAAGGAGGGAAATTTAGCAGGAAGATGCTATTCAATATTATTGATAAGTCTACATTTTTAGCTCTCTCTCTCTCTCTCTCTCTCGCTATATACCATCGTTTACCAAAAGGGAATAAATATAACCTTAAATGATATAGTGCCCAAGAAAAATCACTATTTGTTGAAAGAAGGTCTACTAAAGGTTGAACACAGTTTATCTGTTACTTAAAAGTTTCTGCACCTGCTCCCCACCCCCTCCCCCTCAAAAAGGGATTGCCTCTTTCGCAGAGGTTTATCACTTTTTTCCCATCGGTGTCATCTGATCGGGAAATTAAAACGCATCCCCCTTCTCAGAACGCTGGCTACGGCCCTGAATAACAGCAACAAAACAAATCACACAAAACAAAAAAATAACCCATAAAAGAAATATTTTCGGCGGAGCAAATGTCGGCGGAGCAAATGTCGGCGGGGCAATTGTCGGCGAAGCAAATGTCGACGGAGCAATTGTCGGCGGAGCAAATGTCGGCGGAGCAAATGTCGGCGGAGCGATTGTCGGCGGAGCAATTGTCGGCGGAGCAAATGTCGGCGGAGCAATTGTCGGCGGAGCAAATGTCGGCGGAGCATTTGACGTCGGAGCAAATGTCGCGGAGCAAATGTCGCGGAGCAATTGTCGCTTTTTGCGGAGCATTTGTCACCGGAGTAATCGTCGCCGGAGCATGTGTCGGGTTACCCCTCGTAACTGTGAGGCCCCAGGATCAAAACCGTGTCCATGTGCTATATTAGTGCCCTTTTGTGGGGCATTAATCCTCATTACTGTCATTTATTACTTGAGGGCGTAGGTCCCCTAGTTAATAAGCATAGTAGCATGCATATGCTTTAGCAGTCCCACAAAACACACATTGGCAAATTATTATTCAATAAAACTCCAGAAGACCTACTGCTTCCAACAGAGTTTTTTTTTTATTTATGTACATTTTATTGGGATAAAAACGCTGCCGTTGGGGCATCTGCCGACTTGATCCACCTCATGTCGGATACGCCCTTCTTGACAACCAGGCACAGACGGTATACACGACAGTAACAAACATTCCATTCAACCATGCAGAGGCGGCGCTCCCGGGGTAAAGGGGGAGGGGTGGGGGCACAGTGCCCCCACTTTTTCAAGTACCCCAAAAGTGCCCCTTTACCAACATAGGAATATTGCCCCTAATTTTGTAAGAGGTTCCCTTTGTGCCTTGACAAGTTCCCCTTTTCCTTTGTAAAAAGCGCCGTTCCCCTTTTAATAAGCGCTCCTTTTCTTATGATAAGTGCCCCCATTTGAAAAAGAGCCCCTCTCTCTCTCTTCTGATAAATGCCCCTTTTCATCTTTGAAACTAGTTCCTTGTTATTCTCATAAATGCCCATTCATCTCTTATAAATGACCCTATTCAGTTCTGAGAGATACTCGATTTACTTTGACAAGTGCCCCTTCCCCTCCTGATAAGTGCTCTTTTCATCTTTTATAAATACCCCTATTATTTTGCACGTCCCCTTTTACTTCCTAATGAATGTTCTTTGCCTTCTTATAAATGCCCTTTTCCCTTCTCAAAACTACCCCTTTTCATCTTTGATAAGTGCCCCGTTTATTTTAACATGTGCCTCTTTTTCTTTTTAATAAGAGCCATCCCCCCCCCCCTTTCATGAAAGCCCCCTTTAACCTACGAAGATGTCCCTATTAAAATCTGATCGTTGCCCCTTTTCTTTGAACTAATGCATATTTCCCTTTATCAATAGTGCTCCTTTTTCATTCTGACAAATGCCTCTTTTTATGTATTGTCAGTGCCCCTTTTCACTTGTTATAAATGCCCCTATCAAAATATGATGAGTGCCTCTTTTCTGTCGACAAATGGCCATTTCCCATTGTCATAAAAATCTCTTGTTTTAGGTTTAAGAAGTGCCCCATTTTCACCTCTGATAAATAGCCTTTGTACTTTGACACTTGCTCCATTTCTTTTCTAATATGAGTCTTAACCCTTTCGATAAGTGTCCCATTTTCCTCTCATCATTAAACGTGCCCCCAAGAGCAATTTTACCCAAAGCTCGCTCGCTACGCTCGCACGTAGTTAAAGATGTTATAATTGTGTAACTTATCAAAGGCCTTTTCATTTTTCCGTTATGAGAATGTATTGATGTTTGTTCTCTTTATGTCGCACTACGACCTCACAAATCTTTAAATTGTTCCTCGCTCACAACTTAATTTCCAGACCATCACACCCAATTGCAAAGTATGATGATTAAGCAATATCTTATATGATGTATAAAGAGAAATGATTATTGAAATCATCCCCGATAATGTAATCTATAGGGGTATATGCCAAT